AAGGGAAGCGAGATATATATAATGTCAACAAAGTAGCAGCCCAATAATTGACCTACCCAACAGGCATAATAACAAAATTGCTAAAAAAACCGCCTAACATCAAGAGTAGCGAAACGAGACATAATGTCAACAAAGTAGCAGCCCAATAATTGACCTACCCAACAGGCATAATAATAAAATTGCTAAAAAAACCGCCTAACATTAAGATAAGGGAAGCGAGATATATATAATGTCAACAAAGTAGCAGCCCAATAATTGACCTACCCAACAGGCATAATAACAAAATTGCTAAAAAAACCGCCTAACATCAAGAGTAGCGAAACGAGACATAATGTCAACAAAGTAGCAGCCCAATAATTGACCTACCCAACAGGCATAATAATAAAATTGCTAAAAAAACCGCCTAACATTAAGATAAGGGAAGCGAGATATATATAATGTCAACAAAGTAGCAGCCCAATAATTGACCTACCCAACAGGCATAATAACAAAATTGCTCAAAAAACCGCCTAACATCAAGAGTAGCGAAACGAGACATAATGTCAACAAAGTAGCAGCCCAATAATTGACCTACCCAACAGGCATAATAATAAAATTGCTAAAAAAACCGCCTAACATTAAGATAAGGGAAGCGAGATATATATAATGTCAACAAAGTAGCAGCCCAATAATTGACCTACCCAACAGGCATAATAACAAAATTGTTAAAAAAACCGCCTAACATCAAGAGTAGCGAAACGAGACATAATGTCAACAAAGTAGCAGCCCTATGATTGACCTACCCAACAGGCATAATAATAAAATTGCAAAAATAACCGCCTAACATTAAGACAAGGGAAGCGACGGATAATGTCTACAAAGTAGCAGCCCAATGATTAACCTGCGATCGGGCGTTTTTCTTTTTTTTTTTACCCAATGATTGACCTACCTAACAGGCATAATAACGAAGAGGCCAAAAAACCGCCTAACATTTAAGACAAGCGAAACGAGAGACAATTTCAACAAAGTAGCAGCCCAATGATTGACCTACCCAACAGACATAATAACACAGGGGCACCCAACGGCAATTTTTGGAAAATATCTGTTCGAAAGACAATTTGAGATCTAGAATTTTCGGAACATTTGTCGTAAAATTTATTGCTTGCCTGCCTCTCCTAGGATTTTCCAACATCTAAAAAATGGTATAATTGCTCATTTTTAACGGATTTTTACCTTAAAAAGGTAACCTAGAATTTTTGGGAGCCTTTTTTCTGGCTGAAATTTTCGAAAAGGCAAGTTTTGATCCCTATAATTTTCTGATCACTAGAATTTCAGCTAGGAAATCCGAACAGATGAAAAATTTTTAGGGGATAAAAATATGCCTATATCTACCGTTTAAATACTAAAATACGTTCAACAATGCGATGTTTAAGTGGCTTTGAACTATATTCTCGTTGGGTGCCCCTGATAACAAAACGTTCGAAGTAAGACGAAACGAGAATAATGCTAGCCAAATATATAGCAGCCCGATGACTGACCCTTCAACAGGCGTTAAAAACAGAATACTCATCTCATGTTATTCCACTCGATAAAACAATCTCTAAATATTTTGTCAACTGGCTTCTTCCAATTTTGTTCCCTAACGCTATTGTTTCTACTTAAGTCACGCAGTAAAGTCATTGGGTCAAATAAAATACGTTTTAATTACTATCATGACTCTAAATGAGCAAGCATGTTTGATGTTGTTGCTAAATCCACGACTGCCAGAACGCAAAAGGTCTGTTGAAATTTGTACGCGAGAGAATATTAAAGCTTGTTTACAGGATAAACTTACTTGGTACAGCTTTTTTAAAAAATGAACTGTCTTTGATGTCTTGCAAACTTCTAAAACCACAATTAGAACGCATACTTCCGTGTTCAAGTCCATACTGATGTAAATATCAGTAATATTAAAGTTTTATTTGGGGAGTTTCTAAGGTGAAACAGAACTCATAAATTATCAAATATACGTGCGTTTCTATCTTTCAAGATAGCCGAATTAGGCCATAGATTTTTTGAAGCAGCACCATACTAAAATTTGAACCCTTTAACAGCTACATCATGGTACTAAATGTTTGAATTATACAAACATTGAAATGTTAAGCTTCTAAACACATTTAGCCGTAATAAAAGACGAACAAATTGTGAAGAACCAAGATCTCTCAAAGTGTCCTTGTTTGACCTTTTGCAATTTCATGTTTAGATGCCAAAATCTCATCGTTTTAACCATCAACGCATAGTGAGGTCCATAGTACCTCCAACCTTATTGGCCCATCATCCTGCAACACACATACAAACACGCAAAGCATCCAAAGCCACAAAGATACATACGCATGCACAGACCAATGACACATGAGCTATTTTTTTCAAATTTGCTCAAACCTCGTCTCCAGGGTCTTCTCGTTTTCTAATAGGGACCTTACAAAAGTACGACGGAGACGGCAAAGGGAAAGTCCATAAAGCAAACCAACAACGCTGTACGTGCATCACGTTTTTTTGGACATTTCTCTATTTGCAGTCCCTGCATAACTACGACGTGAAATGACGCAATTTTAAGTTTACTTGGGAACGGGAACGGCGAAGCGATATATAAATTCTACCATCTCTTTCAGAACTTGGGCGCGGGCCCTTCTCTTCAGCTCAAAACCAGGTTTCCTTCTTTTAAGCAACTGGGCCCCTTGGAATAATCGCAAAAAAGAGTGCAAGGATGCGAAGTCTACTTTTCAGCGATGTCTTCATGGACGTCGCCGTTGTCGGATCGTAAGGTCTTTAATATAGCAGCCCTAGTTTATCACCACGACAATTTTTCGCGAAACGTTTAATTTTTGCATTACAAGTTGATGCCCTGTGACGAGGATGCGCGGACGTTTTTGAACAGGCTTCAAAAACTTGCAACGCCAAAACACGAATTCCGCTCAGGCTGTTTCGCGTAACAGAAGTGTCGTCAATTTTCCAGGCAAGGACTTTTTTTGAACCCTCTTTCCTTCGATTTGTGTGACACTTATTTCACGTGATGTGCTGCAAATCACAAACTCGTCCTATCGCAGGCGGAAAGTATCTTACAAATCAAAACATTGAGGATTTAATAGTTCGGATAAAATGCATTCACTTTGAATTCAAAATCTCCGAATACGCGATCAAACCAGTCAAACGCCGAATCCGATCAAAATGCTCCAGACTCGTTACAAATCCGGAAAAATCACCTCTAGTGCATAAAACGTAGCCTGAGAATACATAAGGTCAGTTCCTGTTGCAAGACAGCTGAGTAGTTAACAATTTTCATCACCAATTTCAGTTTTCCTAAGGGTGTCGGTTGTTAACCAGCTGTCACAGTAGTTCCATTTACCTAACTCTAGGTCTTAAGCCAGGAAAGGGGAAGGAAATTCGTGGTGTGGGAGCGCCGCCCGGTTCTCCAAATCCTGACCCTATCTCAGTCAAACAATTGTCATTTTCCGACCTCATTTTCCACACCCGATTCCAAGCCTGGCTTCTAAACTCCATGCCCTTTTTCAGACCTGGCGTCGGCAGGAATTATGTCGTCGCTACTTAGATTAGAACGCCAACGAAAAGGTATCTAAGATCCATTTCGAATGGACCTTTTTCGATATATTAAAATTCATACTGGATTCCGAGGCTTGGGGGAATAAAACAAAAAAAGTGTATTATTCATTGCTGAGCCTAGAGATGATATCTTTTGTTTTATTCCCCCAAGCCTCGCAGCCAAGTATGAATTTTAATATATCGAAAAAGGTCTATTCATATTTTACTCTTTCATTCTTATTCATTAGGATTTGAAGCGACAAATAAATTCATGAACTCCTGTATTCCTCGAAAACTATACCCGAATGCAGACCAAACTAGGCAAAATTTATACCCGATTTGAGACCAAATTGGCCTTAAACCCCTACCCTTTTGGGGCGTTACATACCTATATGGCAAATATTACGGAGGTTTACTCAGCATCTTCTTTAGACCTAAAAATTACGACATGGTTTTTGAAAAGTGCCTGACGAGTTTCTTACCATTAAACATATAAATGAGTCGCAGTATTACAAATCTAATGATCGTCAAATTCAGTTCTTTTTGAGCTCTACATGTTTTGAAATTGTCAGTGCTCGTCTTAATATTTTCCGATGCAATAAAAACTTCAAGTTTGTAGGGGTAGCAATACAAGTAGTTTACATAGGCTACATTCGTTTGAAGTTAAATGGAAAAAAAAACACCTGTCCATTGAGAACTGAAATCCAATTCAGAGTTAGTGTTCTGCCGGATTTACATAGTTATTGCTTGGCTTGCCGGCGGGAGACCGATTTGTTTAATCACAAGGTGATTACAGGCCAAATTGGACGGCACGAAGTTCTGTTACCAATTAATCATAACTATGACAAAATATGTGATATTTTAGGCTTTTCTAAATCTAAACATTAGAAATTTTGCTCTCATTGAAAAAAAAAGTCATTTAAGCATGCGCGAGATGCCGTGTACTGTCTAATTAACTATCAGGCATGACGCATACTGTCCTATTACACTGTCCTATTAGTGCTGAAATCAGGACAGCTGATAGCCAATCAGCTTTGAAAATTTTGTAATAGTTGTAATTAACCTGTTTATGACCAAGCTGGGCAATACTTAACACTATGCTGGCTATTTAGTATCCTGCTATGATTAATTCAGGTTTTTTTATAATTGGTCGTCTTTGCAGGAGCCTCTTTCAAAGCCATCCAGTTTAGCTGACTTTTAACAGTATAACAGCAGCATAGCTGTTTACTCCCTATTTGACAAAGAATATGAGCAAATTGGAGGGCGTTCCTAAACAAAAGAGGCCATTTTAGGAAACGTGCGGGATAAAACGTTGTTAACAGCAGATGGTTTTGGACTAATTGTTTCGGTTCGTATACAATATCGTTCTAGTTGAAGGCTATCATACTCTGATAGACCAAGTCGGAAATATTTAAAGATTAAGAGAAGAACTTCTGTGTTAAATGATTCCCCTTTACAAAAAGGCACTTTTTCGGACTCTTCGCTTCTTTGCATGGTCTTTGTTCAGTGCTTGGCTTTTCTTTTTATTTGAAAATACTGAAAAGGATGACGCACAGGTTAAATTACAGCTGCTTCGTTCTCTCTATGAATCTATGGCATCTAAATACAACATGTCTATTGAAGAGTTCAACGGTTTTAGCAAAGTGGCCTATGAAGCTTTGAGCGAACCAAAACGACAGTGGAGCTACTACGAAGCAGTTGATTTTACTTTCCAGGCTTTTACGACAATAGGTAAGGTCCAGTGTTAGCCTGCGAGACTGGCGGGATTGTTATCTCTGGGCTTTTTTCTTGTCGTCACGGGTTAATTATGTGTGAAGGGAAAAGATCATTTATTATAAGTTTCCTTTCTTTCAGCTGATTTCTCTGTCAGTATCGAGTTTCCTTCTTATCTGCATTGTTTTTCTTGAAAATTGTCGTGAACGTTATTTGAAACGAAAAAGGAGACCATCCTCATCGTTTCTTGTCTTTTATCCCATTCGCCAATTCCCCATTTTCTAGAAAGTATTTTCAATTAACAGCTGAGTTAGGACACTTTTAGGACCACCGGTTTATCAGTTCTTGTAACAGTTTCAAGTGTTTTTATCAGGGTCTGGACGGGTTGTTGTGAACCCGCACCTTTTTAACGCTTGTCTTGTTGATCTTGTTGATTCGCATTTGTCGCTTGAACGTTTGAATCCTGACGATTTCACGAATTCTCGACAGACAGAAAAAAATATCGTACATCCCGTCGCCAAATTTTGGCAAATCCCGATCCCCTGGTAGAAGTGAAATCCTGTATCCCGTCAGGATATTTTGTGTTTTCTTGAAGCCCACGCAGTATTTGGCGAAATCCCGGGTCTCACAAATACCCTTCCAGACCGACTGATTTTCACAAACGTGAAGGATTAAAGACACTCGCACGTGGTAGTCGTAAAGACGTGACGGCAAAGAATTATATACAAAAAAAACGTGATTCACGGGCCACGTTTTTAATCGATTGTTTTTTGACGTTCTCGTTGCTGTTGCTGTCTACCCTGCTTAAGGTCCCTAAAATGCTTGTTCAGTTAGTGGCAGTATTGGATGAAACAAGTTCCACCTTAGTTGCTCAGGCTTTCAATTTCATGAAAAACCGTATCTGTATCTCCTCTAGGCTATGGTTATATCACGCCTCAAACACCAACCGGCCAGATAATGTGTATCTTGGTATGTTTCTTGGGGATTCCGATTACAATGCTGGCCTTAAAATCAGTCGGCGAAGTTATCCTTAAACTGGTCAACACAGTTATCACGAAGTTTGAGAAGAACATTCTGGGAAGGCCAGTTCCAAAGCAAGTACAAACCAAAAGTGCTGTGATCTTATTCCTCCTGATGCTGCTGACAATCTTTGTCATCGGTCTTCTACAGATTTCCGTGAAAGTGAATCTCCTCCAAAGAGTGTATTTCGCGTTTGTGACTTGTAGCACCATCGGCTTTGGTGACTATATTCCTTTTCAGATAAGCAGAAGAATAGACCACTTACCTGTCAATGGCTCTAATGATGCATTTAAAGAAAAGAAACAGGGCCCTGATGTGTTCTATGCCCTATCCTGGGAAATTGAGGTCATTTTTGGTTTGTGCCTTGTGTCAAGTGTATTAAACTCAATAATGGCAGCCATGGAAGAACGAAAATGGCATTATCCTGGATGTATTCCGCGAAAGACAAGGAAACCCGTGGATATGGACCCCGCAATTACCACACAACAGCAAGGCGTCAGTGACTTGGCAAATAAAACGCTGGTTAATGTTGCATGCCAGACAGAAACACGACTTTAATTCAGTCTGTAAAGACCATTTTGATCTCTTGAATAAACTAATTACAAAATAATCTATCATTAGCCATTCCACGGTTGATATTTTAAGTAAAATTTCTCTGTTTGCTGGAGTTATAGAAAATCATTTAACGATAAATGCAGAGTCTGTCTTGTTAACGTCGAGGCGGTCATATTGGCGGACTGAGCGTGAAACAAAGGGATGGCGACCATGTTGGAGGAGCAAAGCAGTCCATTGGGAACTGAACTATCTTTTTTATGCAAAATGTTTCCCTTTGTTGGGCCTGTGGGATCAGTTGAAAACTAGTAACTTGTCAGCAGGGAACTTACGAAAAACGCAACCTCGATGGTTCGACACCTGAATGCGCGATATGCTCATGTGACACTGGTCAGCAGATAACCTATTTTAACAGCTGTCAATTAACCACAGCATTGATGTGTAATATAAGCCTCAGGCTCCCAATTTTGTTACCCTCTTACCCTGTGGTATTATATCGTATTATATTTGCGGAACCTTACCCTAGACTTTAGCCATTAGTATTTCTTATTAATATACTTACGTCACTTACGGTAACCCCCTTAATCGTAAACAAATTGTGATTCCATCAAGATATGTAATTTTCCTTTTATTTACTTTTTAAAGTCCTTGTGCATAATTTCTTATTTTTTTTATTTCTTAAACATTTTATCATGTAGTCATTATTTACGCAGGGCCCCTTTTGTTACCAGCCAATGGCTATATAAAGTTGACTTGACTTGACATGTGGTGCAGACGAACGGGCGGACACACGGTCACGCGACTACCAAAATTCTTGTATGGATAAGCAAATTTCTTAGTTATGGGCTCTGCTCGCGCGCTCGCAGTGCTCTGCTATAAGTAAACCAAGATGGCCTTAGGTAACATGAGCCAAAACACTCTATATCCTTGCTGGTAGGTTCAAATGTTATTTGTGAGTAGACCCAATGTCGTGGTGATTTTGATCGGGTGATAATTGAATGATTTCTTTAAAAGCAAACATCAAAGGAACATCAAAGGTTCACATAAGAGGGCGTAAGAGGCCTTTATATTCTCTTCTTCAAAGGTATTATCAAATGATTTCCCAAGGTGCTTAATCGAAAAATTATCCTTTTAATGTCGTTTTCTCCAAGCTTGTGTGCAATAAACGTCACCGTTGACCTTGGGTCGTTCTCTCAGGAAAGAAAGTAGCGTGCATGTGAGGTAAACTTGCCTAAATGACGACTTCTTTTTCTCCTGACTGATGACCCAACCAATGAAAAAAAACGGCTCCCTTCTAAAAGACGCCTCTTTTCCCTGGTATTCGGCAAGCTTCTCTGATCAGATAATTTGAAGTTGATTAACAGCAACTATCTTTAGATGATTGTTCTACTTTTTTTACGGGAAGCTCTGGAGAACTTGATATTTTTCTCTGATTTCTCCTCGGAGAGTTGACCGGCGTCTAAGACATCACGCCAACAAGACTGCGCGCATTTTGGCGCCTTCGATTGAGGTGTGTCACTTGATCATGCGGTAACATAATCACGTGATGGTTCGATCTCCAAGCAACCGCGGAGCATGCTCAGCAAAGTTCGTTTCGGCCCATAGCAGAGGTTTCTTTTTCTCCCTGCTGCCTAATACCAACCACTTTCTTCAGCTGTTAAAAAGCTGTTGAAACGGAACAACTACTGCCTAGAAAGCAGGGCGGATAAATGTTGCTCCTTCAAACTTTGCTTCTCGGGTGCAACTTTGCTTCTCGGGTGCAACGCGCCATGGCGATTAGCGCAATGCGTCGCAAATCCGGCAACCACATGTTAACAAAATTTATTGAGGTTAGTTGTAAGGTTTTTTCTCCGGTTTTCTCTCTAAAACAAAACAAGGTAAACAGTAAAAACTGAGGGAAAACTAATTTTGAAGTTTCGAAGAAACAGAAAGACGTATGAGATGTTTTTTTTTCAAAATTAAAAAGAAGGATGATGGTGATTGAAATAAGCATAATTTCACCTTGCACGAGCTGCACGCATTTATAAAATACACGTCATCTAGTTATGAAACACACGATCTGCTGTCTTTTAGTTTTGCCATGGATGACATTTTCCTTCGTGTTTTAGACAGTACTTAGTTGTTTTTGTTTTGGAATAACATCGACATTGGCGAGTAGTAGAACGAAAATATAATTCAGTGGTAGAGTCATGGAAGTAATCAGAGAAACCCTTTGAAAGAGATGTTTGTCTACTCCAACTAAACCTCCCGCAAAAAATACCAACATTTTCCTCTCGGAGACAGCGTACCAGCACAAAGGAACGAGGAAGAAGTACAAGAAAACAAATCAAGCCACCATAATTCAGTGACAGCGGCAGTGTCTAATGGACAAACTACATCGCAAGCCCTGACCGAAGTCGAAAACAAGCGACATTTCTAAGCAGAGGCCCAGTGCACTGCGTCACACATTTTTGCTCGGACGGGCTCGTTTCACCGCCCAACCTTTATCCGCCATGCTAGAAAGTTCTAAATCTCGCGCGAGAGGGACTAAAAATATCTGTATAACTGTTCCCTTCATCTATCTTTTTTTTAACCGCTGGGATACCGGGACTCGGGAAATTTATAAGACAACATCATACAGCAGATCATAATTCTGAATTCTATTGTTGATTCACGTTGATATTCCCCGGAAGACCAAGTGATTAACTGGGCCTGGGGCTTAACTGTTTTCGAAACTTTAATTGGGAAATTTAGGATAAATGAAGGGTTGATCCTGTTCAATTTCTCCAAATTTTTATAATACAAGTTATTAGTTTCATTCTTGCGGTAATAATTCAGAGCATATAAACAAGTAATTCGCCTCACCTTATTTGTGTTCACTGATTGATGCGTCTGTCATTGACAACAAGACGAAGGCAATAGCACTTTTTTTCTTTGCTTCATTTTAAAGGCTTAGAATTAATTTATTTGCTTCATTTCATGTTCTCTTTCAATTTCTTTCAAAGTCTTCAAAATGAGTCTCAAAAGAAGCTTTTATTGATTGATTTTTGATTATTGATTTACCGTCACCTGCCTTTACCATATGTCGACATATGCTAGATTACCTGTTTCATTATCAGTTCCATTCTAAACCCGAGATCGTACTGAGAATGAATAATGACTTTCAGAGTGTAAGGAAGAGATATGACTGTCCGGTGGAATTGATAAGAAATTAGAAGAGGAGTTAACATGCCCTTAGAACCTTTTACTTCGACTTGCATACTCTTTAACGCCTTCGCATCGAAAAGAGATAAATAAAAGCACAAAAAATACACATGTATATAAGATAAACTTAAAAATTATAGCTAAGGTAATTACAAAATAAATATTGAATAATTTTATGCTCTAATTGTAGAGGAGATAGGCTCCAATCTGTTTTATAGTTCTCGGAAAGAGGCTTAAGAGATAAAAGTCATAGCGAGCGTTAGGTTTAACATACGTCGAATGGCATAAATGTCGTAAATGACTGAATAACTAGTCAATGCTCCAGGTGAAATAAAAAGTTGAAAGCAAACATCAGACTGAGTGNGATCATAATTCTGAATTCTATTGTTGATTCACGTTGATATTCCCCGGAAGACCAAGTGATTAACTGGGCCTGGGGCTTAACTGTTTTCGAAACTTTAATTGGGAAATTTAGGATAAATGAAGGGTTGATCCTGTTCAATTTCTCCAAATTTTTATAATACAAGTTATTAGTTTCATTCTTGCGGTAATAATTCAGAGCATATAAACAAGTAATTCGCCTCACCTTATTTGTGTTCACTGATTGATGCGTCTGTCATTGACAACAAGACGAAGGCAATAGCACTTTTTTTCTTTGCTTCATTTTAAAGGCTTAGAATTAATTTATTTGCTTCATTTCATGTTCTCTTTCAATTTCTTTCAAAGTCTTCAAAATGAGTCTCAAAAGAAGCTTTTATTGATTGATTTTTGATTATTGATTTACCGTCACCTGCCTTTACCATATGTCGACATATGCTAGATTACCTGTTTCATTATCAGTTCCATTCTAAACCCGAGATCGTACTGAGAATGAATAATGACTTTCAGAGTGTAAGGAAGAGATATGACTGTCCGGTGGAATTGATAAGAAATTAGAAGAGGAGTTAACATGCCCTTAGAACCTTTTACTTCGACTTGCATACTCTTTAACGCCTTCGCATCGAAAAGAGATAAATAAAAGCACAAAAAATACACATGTATATAAGATAAACTTAAAAATTATAGCTAAGGTAATTACAAAATAAATATTGAATAATTTTATGCTCTAATTGTAGAGGAGATAGGCTCCAATCTGTTTTATAGTTCTCGGAAAGAGGCTTAAGAGATAAAAGTCATAGCGAGCGTTAGGTTTAACATACGTCGAATGGCATAAATGTCGTAAATGACTGAATAACTAGTCAATGCTCCAGGTGAAATAAAAAGTTGAAAGCAAACATCAGACTGAGTGTGAAACATCCCGTCGCCAAACGTTGATAGCATGATAGCTTCCGCAATTAATTGCGCATTTTCAATTGTACTGATTGTTGGCTGCTGAAGGAGTAATTTTATCCCGAAGTTCAAGGAATTAGAAAGCGAAAATTTAGAAAGCGAAAACTGTATTTTCATGCTGACTGATTTTTGTAATTGTTCATAAAGCATGGTTCGTCATGTTCATGCACTTTTCAACCACTGCTGTCATGAAATATTCTCAATTTTATTTGTAATTTTGTAGATGGCGAGATGACTCCTTCTTTATCCGACTATAGACCATGCTAATTGTTGGCTAAAATTAACAAAGGCGATTATTCATATTTCCTACTTCAACAAAATGTTATGGAAACAGTGTGAGAATCAATTCAAATTGTGTTTGGCATAAAAGGAAATTTATCTGCTATGACAGCATGTTAAACCCGAGATAATTGACCTGTCATCAGTACGCCTTGCAGATTATTAAATTCTCGTAAGGTAATCAATCGTATTCTTTCTCCTCACTTTGACCACTT